TCCAAGAAAACTGTGGTCGGTTCTCGATCACTTAACTAACAAAGATGTTCATGAGAAGCCAAATATTGATGAGATTAAGAATCGTGATGGAACAATATTAACAGATAAACGACAAATATCCGATGCATTTATAAATTTTTTCACTAATGTTGGAGAAAATTTAGCAGCCAGTATTAAAAAAAATGTTTTGAACGACATGTTCCCAAAAACACAACTTCCCAATTCATTCTTTTTAGAATGCGTTAGTCCGACTGAAGTACAAGAAGCTGTCCTAACACTTAAAACCAAAAAAACTCCTGGTGTAGATGGTATCAAAGCTGAGCATTTAAAAATAATAGCCGAACCACTTTCTTACGTCATTAATTGGTGTTTCCAATCTGGAATTTGTCCTGATGCATTTAAAACAACAGTTATTACTCCTGTTTATAAAAGCGGTGTCAGAATGGAAACATCAAATTATAGACCCATATCAGTACTATCGAATATAGCCAAAATTTTCGAAAAATCTTTACAAGAAACGATATTACAATTTTTGGACAAAAACAAAATTATATGTTCTGACCAATATAGATTAAGAAAAGGAAAATCTATTACAGATGCAGTTTTGGCAATGGATTAAATTAACTCTAATGTCACCAAAAAAAATACCTACTATTGATATCTTTGTTGATCTAAGAAATGCGTTTGATACGGTTAACCATGTCGAACTTCTGAAAGTTATGGAAAGATTGGGATTTAGGGGAACGTCGCAAATACTTTTAAAAAATTACCTTTCAAGTCGGGAACATACTGTCAAAATCACTAACACTTATAGTAAAAAATGTACATCAAGTGTGGTGTGCCTCAAGGAACAGTGGTAGACCCACTATTATTTAGTTTCTACTTAAATGACTTATTCAAAATTAACAGTTCTGGATACATTATATGTTTTGCATACGACATCCTCAGCTGATGACTGGAGCAAACTGAAGCAAGTAGCTGAAAAGGATTTTATAAGGATCATTGACCGTTTTGATTGGTTTTTACCTACCTTCGAACAAATTTCCGTTAATTGTCATGACCAAAAGACCAAAATCGACACTTTGACTTATCTTGGAATATTTATAGACTCACATCTAAGGTGGGATAGCCATGTTATCAAAAAAATTAGAAATGTTGTCTATGAACTTAAAATGCTTGCTAACATTCTTACAGAAAGTTAACTGCGAATCCTGTACCATGCCTTAGTTGAAACTCATATAACATACGGCATCACAGCCTGGGGTGCCGCCTGCAAGACATATATTTCTGACCTGAATATAGGACAAAAAATTCTTTTGAAAGCCATTTCCTATAAGCCAAGGCTACATCCGATGAACAACTTATATCAGGAAACAGGGATACACGATACAAGACAACTTTATTTCTTACATGCCACCACCTTATACCATAAGTATTGTAATGAAAAAAAAAATCCTGTAAACACGAGCATAACACACGATTTCGAATAGGCTCATCTAATATTCAAAGAACACACAAAACATTATTCAAAAAATCATTTAAGTTCTTAGCAGCTAAATTATATAATGTAGTACCAAACGAAAGAAGAATACTCGATTTTGGAAAAAAATTTAGACGAAAATTGAAAAATTGGGTTTGTACTGTGCAGCGAATGACTATACATAATTATATAGAAAACTAAAACTACAAAATTCCAATTCTATTAATACTTTTTAGAATGAACAATAATTGTTATACACATATGATTGATTGTTAGTTATTAAGATATAATCCACACACAGGCGATGCCTTCTGTGGTTTTTTCATATTTTTTTGCCCATTTTTTTGTATTTTGGCGAATAAATATTATTATTATTATTTTATATACATATATATATACAGGGTGACTTTGAAGTTGAGTCATTAATTTTCAGATAATGATTGTGGAAGGAAGATAAACCAAAATATGTGTGTAAAAATAAAAACAAAATTAAAAAAAATTTGTTACCTTGTTTTATAAAGTATCCTCCCGACAAGTATTTCAGTGCGGACCTGTATTTGATCGTGAGGTCCCCTGTGAGGTCTTAAGTCACCTGATTCACGAGCCCGTTGTACTACATTAACAAAGGCACGAGGGGTTGGTTGCACTCGATTGGGAAACCGATCCGCATAAACATGTGCCATTTTTTATTTCGTTTGAGCCACGCAACAGACACTATTCACACGCGTTACCGAATGACACGACTGTATGTATAACTGAACTGAATAAAATAATTGTAAAAACATCGTTCCAAATTCTTTCGCTTTTTTGTTTCCGATGCGATGAACCGATAAGGCGGATTATATCCGTTGTTGCCAAACACGAGCACATGATATTATTATTGAGACAGGGCGGTACTCAAACTTCCAAAGGGCTATAACTTTGTTACTTTAATTTTACCAGAAAAATGGTAAAGGAAAAAACATTTCTTTTGATCAGATCTACTCACTGTTAAAATAAATGACTCAACTTCGAAGTCACCCTGTATATATACATGTAAATTTGAGATACTAAGCCTCCTTGGACAATCAGCCATGAATCTTCTCAATTTGAGTAGAGATTCACTGCTTGACTTGCCTTGAAATCATGTAAATGTCCAGTCAAATATTTGATATTATCAATCTGATATCAAGTCGTTTGAAAAAGATTTTGTCTCACATAATATCCAGTAATACGTCCTTGTATATATATATCTTTGAAACAGAATCTCATGCAGCGGTTTTGTAATACTTGAATTTTGTGGTTCAATTCTTCCGTAAGAAAATTACAGTATACTGTAGCGCCATAGTCTAGATGAGTGAGGATTGGTGCATTGGTAAGTCTTAATTTTATATCACTGGTTAAAATATACATTTGTATCTCCAAGGTGACTTATATTTAAAATAGCATAATGACGTGGTCCTCAAAACTTAAATTTGTGTCCAGTAAAGTGCCTAAATTCTTAGTCTTCTCTACAATTTCAACAGCTGTATCACCTAAAAGAATGTCTGTGTACTCATCAATTCTGTAAATTTTGAAATATTTAACCTAGAACCGATGCAGCGAGCTTTAGTTTTTGAGGGATTCAGTTTCAAACAATAATTTTTTGAATAGTTTGCAATCATCTCTATATTTACATTTAATTCTAAAATCAATGAATTAACTTCATTTGGCTTGCAAGCTTTATACATTTGTACATCATCAGCATATATATGTATATTCCAATCAAGTGATATAAGATTTAATAAATCAGATGTACAGAATGTAAATAGTAATGGACCTAATACACTTCCTTGCGGAACACCAGAAATTACATTTTGTAAAGTGGACATTTTGTTAGATATCTTTGTACACTGGGACCTGCCAGTCAGGTAGTTGTTGAACCACAGTAAAGTTTTACTAGACAAACCATAATATTGTAGCTTTTCACATAATACTTCATGGTTGACCTTGTCAAATGCCTAACTGTAATCTAACATCACCAATACGGTCACCATACCATCATCCATGAACTTGACTATATCGCTAGTTACTTTTATAAGCACTGTGGATGTGTTGTGTAATTTTCTGAATCCCGACTGTGTATCGGGGAGGACTTCATTTACTTCTAGATGGTCACGAAGTTGGTCAACTACCACTTTCTCTGCTAGCTTGGACATCATAGGTAAGGTGCTTACTGGTCTCAAATCCTTCATCTGTATAGCGTTATTGACTTTTGCTAGTGGCGTTACAACTGATTCCTTCCATAGTGTTGGTAGCTCTCCTGTGTTCAGAGATTGATTTATGATATCCGTTATTTCACCTTTGCAGGAAGAAAATACGTTTTTCAGCATTATTGTAGTAATACCATCTATACCAGCAGCATTTGATTTCACTTCTCTCAGTTTCTTTTCAATATCATCAGATGTAACAAGATGGAACGAGCTTTTAGTTGCGAGCGACTTTTTCTGTCCAGATAAAGTGTTAATAAATAACACATCAGGTTGAATGGTTGGCAACGAGTTCACAAAGTAATTGCTGATGGCTTCTGCGTCTTCAATCCCCTGAGATATCTGATTAGTGGATTTTTGATGTATATTCCATTTAGCTTCTTTTTTTGGTAATATATATCTGAATGTGTATAAAAGTATGGAATATGCCTTTTGAAAGAATGATAAAATTTCACAGCTTTTACGCGGTATGTTCCAAACTTTCTTCTATGTTTGGTTATGCCCTGCCAAGAAAACATAATTAATATAAAGTTTTGATGATTGGTTTTTTGAGGTATAAGTGATTTAATGTACAAAAAGATGTTCATCTTTGACAACCCAACTGTCCACCATTCTTGTCCATAAGATACCTATTTTATATCCCATGTAAAGTACAAATAAGAAGCTACAAAATAAGATACCAAACAACTACTCAGTATTTCGTTATAAAAATGGCTCAGAATGGCCAATTTCACCCATTAAGAAAAATAGATTTTAATTTTTTTAATGGCACTAGCCAAATCCTTTTTATAATTACAATGGGCTACAGCACGGTTCCCGAAACAAGGCTTGAGGTGGCTGATAAAAATATCTATGTCCTTCTCTAGCTGATAGAAAGGATAATATAAGACAGTGAAACACTCTTCTCGCCTAAGGGCCCATCAAGACATTTTCAGAATATGACCCACAACAATTAGGCCACGTTTAGGTAGGTAAATTACAGAGGATAGTTACACAGAGGATATATAGCTAATCAAACTTTTTTAACCCATAGGTTTTTATTCTCAAAGCATTGTATGTGCGAAATAAAAGGCAGACAAATATACGTTATGTTTCTGTCAGTCTTGACTGATATGCTTCCATGAGTACCTCTATTTTACGTATTTTTCGGGTCGGTATATCTCAATGTTCTCGCATGTGAAAAGACTTATTCGAATTTTACTGCATGGCTGTCTGATATCCATTGTCTTCCCTTTAAATGTGATTCTGTAAGTTTATATATTGTATATTACATATAGCTTGTTTTTTTGCAGATGCTCCTTACGGTATGTTCTTAATTCCAAGTTGTTACGGTGTGTTCTTTGTTCCATGTTGAAAGTTCTTTATATTACTTTTGCTCCATATGAAATTTCATCACGTATTCAATGAAACGCTGTACGATGTGTCTGCGCGTCCATTATGTATAATATAATTTACTGCTAACCACATCAGCCGTGCTACTTTGACATTAAGACTCTATCTTTGTATCTTTGGAAGTTCAACAAGTCGGATAACGGGATGAGACTGGACACATCAATTCTCAGGCAGTGAAAATAATAATAATATATTTATTTTCCATTTTACAGTTTGAAGATACCCAATAAGTTTGCAAATAAGTATTCTAGCGTTCGCAGAAGGTACATACCTTGTGCGTGAGTTTTTGAGAATTTTCAGCCTAATAATAAGAAAAATTAGTGTAAATTCTATTTTCCCTTTTTGTGTTATTTTGCTCCCCCCATACTGTAATAGCATAATTGATATGAGTCACTACTCATATATATATATATATATATATATATATATATATATATATATACAGAGTGACTTTGAAGTTGAGTCATTAATTTTCAGATAATGATTGTAGAAGGAAGATAAACCAAAATATGTGTGTAAAAATAAAAAAAAAATAAAAAAAAATGTTTACCTTGTTTTATAAAGTATCCTCCCGACAAGTATTTCAGTGCGGACCTGTATTTGATCGTGAGGTCCCCTGTGAGGTTTGAAGTCACCTGATTCACGAGCCCGTTGTACTACATTAACAAAGGCACGAGGGGTTGGTTGCACTCGATTGGGAAACCGATCCGCATAAACATGTGCCATTTTTTATTTCGTTTGAGCCACGCAACAGACACTATTCACACGCGACTGACACTGACTGTATGTATTACTGAACTGAATAAAATAAACATCGTTCCAAATTCTTTCGCTTTTTTGTTTCCGATGCGATGAACCGATAAGGTGGATTATATCCGTTGTTGCCAAACACGAGTACATGATATTATTGAGACAGGGCGGTACTCAAACTTCCAAAGGGCTATAACTTTGTTACTTTAATTTTACCAGAAAAATGGTAAAGGAAAAAAACATTTCTTTTGATCAGATCTACTCACTGTTAAAATAAATGACTCAACTTCGAAGTCACCCTGTATATATAATTTATATAGTATTATCCTTAAATGTTTAACTGTGTGCCATATATGTATGTCCCTTCTCAAATTGCTGCTATATATCGTCCTCGATACTTAATACTGTTTGTTGTATTTATCGTCAAACTTTCATTTGCTTTTGTCCTTATCGTGGGTGTGTTATATTTAGGTAAAGAGCGTATACTGCATGCTAACGGGATAAAATATGTTTTATCAAAATTAATTATCGACAGTTTGTGGTCAAACCAAGTCTTTACATGTTCAATATCAAGTTCGGCTTCTGTTTTAATATTATTTCCTGCTAGATATATGTTGAACAATATTGGACCCAGGACCGAACCTTGAGGGATGCCGTATTTGATTTTTTTGTGGTTGCTTCCATAACCTTCCATACGGACACATTGGAATCTATCAATTAGGTAACTTGTCACTAAGTTAAATTCATTTCCTCTAAATCCAATAGTGCCTAGTATAGCCAGCAGTAGTTTGTGACTGACTGTGTCAAACGATTAAGATAAGTCTATGAAAGTACATTAACAAGGAGAATTTTCAACATCATGCTTAGTTACTTTGCTCATTACATATTCTGTAGTATCCTGCGTCGATTTTTCCTTTTTGTATTTAACACACGATTAGCTTTTTTAATATTTCTACAAATACTTTCGCTAAGCATGATATTAGCGAATATAGGTCTATGATTGATTGTTTGGAAAATTATAATAATAGACCCCCGAACCCAGCCCAAATTGCTGCATACATGATCCCAATGGGTTGCTTGCTTGGATACATTGAAATCTCTGAGCAATATGCTAAAAATTATCCATTTGCTTCTAGCACTTCTGGGTACAGCAACAGACCTTGTAGATGATGCATTTGTGTCATCTGCAAATATAGTGACACGTGCAGAGTTCCAGTCGTTAATGAAGATCAAAGAGAGGAGTGATTCAGACCCTTAGCCGACTTAGTCAATCCATTCGCATGGATCTATCAGTCATATACGACGTCCACAAGTTTAAAATAAATCTAATACCAGTTTGTCTTAACTACAACATTCGAGTTGACTTAGAGCATAAATAGACCTCCTGTTAAAGTCGTCTACCATTCTAGAGCAAACACGATATTAAGAATTGTTGTTTGTGAGTTAATTTCAGCATAGCAGTGTTAGCAGTGAATCTCCGATTGAAGAACCAGGCCATCAAAGGTATGGAGGCAACTAACAGAATCGGCCATTGCTATAGTATACGAGCCCCTTCCCACTTCAGTTGGCCTACTTCAAGATTTGTACAAATATATGCCTTTATAAACTAAACATGACGAAACTATTCACTTCTAAAACAATGTACGTCCTCAAAAACATTTTAGATACACTCTAGTCGTAAAAAATACATATTTGAAATCACTTATACCTATAACTGATAGGACATCTGAACAAATAAACAATGTGCGAATAAATGCGCGAAGATTACCAGATTGGGTAACATCACCTTTATTTTTTATTACGGCTGAAATTCTTAACCAAGTTTTGGCAAAAATTTTATGTAAAACAATCCGATATTTCTTGAAGCTTTTGTCTCAGTTCGGTAATTGTATGAGCAGGATGTTGTCGTAGAACCTTTTTTCATCTCGTGCCACAAAGTTTCAATAGGTGACAAATGTGGACTACTAGAAACCCATTTCAAAATCTTCCATCTCTAGTAAAAGCGATTCTTCTAAAATTGCTAAATATTTGTTTGTATCCACATTTTCATCAATAAGATGAAGTTTTTCTACTCCTTTTAATGACATACTGCCCCAGAGCATAATAGATGCTGGAAATTTCACTTTTCTCTTCAGACAGTCAAAATATAATGCTTCATTTTTTTTGCGAATAACTCTACTGCGACTGTCACCAACACAATCTTCGAATCGGGCCTCATCACTCCATTATATTGCACACCATTGTTGAGGTGTCCATTGTCTATGTTCTTTAGCTCATCTAAGCCGATTTTTCTTTTGCAGTGAAGTTAATAGAGTCTTTTCTTTGACCTATAAACAAGTTGTGCAACTTTAGGGTTTTTACTTCACTTTTTTTATAAGAAAACTTACCTTGCACGTGCTAAATCCCAGTTTGTGGGCCTCTCTATGAGTTGTGGACCTCGAGATTCTCCTTCCAACAGCGTCACTCCGCAGACCACTTAATTGTAAATAATTGGTACGGCTGTTTTTCACGATTATTCTTCTTAATGCTCTTCGGTCGGCATTTGTGATATTACTTTTTTTCACATATCGTGGCTTAATATTAACTGGACCAGTTACGTTGTATCTTCTAACAAGATTTCTCACACTGTACCGCGATAAGTCAAACAAAGTTGCAATTTCTTAGTTTGATTTCCCACAATTAAAAAATTTAATTATCAGTAACCGAATTTTCTCACTAATAACCTTTCCTCTACCCATTTTGAAAACCTTAACTACCCAAAACTATTTTAAACGTATTCTGACAACTGCGATTAAGAAAACCAATTGTCATGGCTTTTATTTTTCACAGCCACCTATGCGTTATAGACTTATATTGCATTGAAATGAAAATAGGTTGATATGCTGTATGTGATAAAGTTGGTGTTTTCTACTATATATTATCAAGAAATCCATTGTTAATATTTTAAACCTATAACACCCTGCTACATTTCTATTATTTGTGTTTGATAAGAAAAAAACTAACATTTCAACAGTTGGGCCAACTGAACTGGGAAGTGGCTCGTATAGCAACAGTAGATTGGAGATCTACAGGAACCATGCTTTGTGCTCTCGTATTTTGGTCGACTACTGTTACCTTTTTTTGCTACTCCGTCTAGGCAGTTGTTTTCAAAAAAATTACCATGATCATATCTAATTTTGCAAAGGTCATGTATAATGTGGAACTTGATAAACATACATATGTGTTTGCCATCAAGGGTCAGATGTGAGAAATATGTTCAGAGAGAACGAGAAAAGTAACTGGGGTGACCGTCTGGTATGAAACTCGCCCTCCCACTCCAATGAGGGCTACTACGTCAAATAGACCAGTCACACTAGCACAAGGTCTCAAATATGGAACAACAGATGCTATTATTGGTCGAATGGGTTCAACGCACACATTTCAAGTTTACTCTTATTGGATGTAGAGTCAGAAATTAAATGCACATTCTTCATATTTACAATGTTCTTTTAAATGTTTAACTTCCAACGCCTACTTAGAGAAGCAACAGATATATTCAAGCGATTTGCAATTACCAGACTTTGAGTTTGACAGATGCGTTAATAGAAGAATGTTGTTTAGCCATGCCTCAAGATAAATTTCAAATTTACAATACTCAAAGATAGATACTTATTTGTCCACAGATTACGCACGGATGATATGGGACGAGTAAAAGCTGTAAAATGTACAGTAATTAAGTCAGTACACATTTTCCTCAGGTGGCTTTTTAAATGACATAATGATCGATCCTCGATCAGTCATAGACTATTAATATATTTATGTGCACATGAAGAGGGGCGATTTTTCAAGAAGTGCAGTGCTATGGTATGGGACACATAACTCAAATGTTCACTGTTTTGACTAAATTTGTTTATGGCTATTACTGTAAGCAGATTGCACCTTAAGTTTCTTGCTGGAACTTGTACCTGACGGGTATGTGGGAATCTATCAATACTACGTCACCAATATCATATAATACATACAATAATTATTCAAAACAAATTGGTTACAGGATATTTAACTTTTAGAATGAATCCTTTGCGTGAGAAGACAACAGCGTCAGGCATGACGACCCTGTTCCTCACCTGGCATTTTCTATCTATGCATCTCGGTTGCCAACGCAATCTAAGCTATTTTCTAATTA